AAATGTCGGAAATAAACCTCTCAGCCTTTCAAGAGCCCAAGTGAAATTATTTTGGCATTCACTTGATAAGAATGCAAATGCCGCTTAGTAGGTTAATCCAATAGATGTCACACCAACAATCTCTAGCAACGACAACCAATGTTTATTTGTTCTGTAAGTTGAATCCATCAATAAAACAATATTAAATGCCTTCAATAATTTGATTGCATCAGGATGTGTCTTGAAGTAGTCAATGACAACCTCAGATTCCTCCGCACATCTACTCTAATGAATGTAGTTGTCACGATCCAACATCATCATCAGTTGTTGCAGCTCAGTTCTCGACCCTTTCAATGACCATTTATATGTATACCTTGTTATGTAAACTTGTTTTATTGTAGTGACATTACGATCATTATTTTCTTTAAGAATCAACAAAATATTTACAGGTATTACTTGAGTTTTAGTCATATCAATAAGTACTATTTATTTAATAGGATTTAACCTACAAACAAAAGGATGACCTACTAAGTTTCTAACAAATTGTGGTTATGGTATCCACATATCACTTAAAATACCCACCTTCGCCATTACAAGATGGTTTGCCCTTTAACTTAAAAAACACTCACATTTTCAGGTGTCCTATGTACTAGGTTGCACATCCGGATTGTATTTTATATATTTTTCACCTCTTTTACATCTTAGCAACACAAACGTCTTCCTTCTAGGTTAACTCGTAACTTTATCCGTTCTTTATAGTTACCACAACAAATCCTAGATCATGTGCAATTATCCTCACCCATTCACTTAAGTTTTCACGAGGGAAAAATATTTCATTTATTGTGAAATGATTTGTCAAATTTCCTTTGGCAATCTCATTTATAAAAGACGAAAAATATGGTAGCATGCTTGAATTTATTTGAGAATTCATCTCATAAAAATATTCTTCCATTTAGACTATAATCACCTATAACATAAAATTCATCTTTCAATATCTAATATGATTTATAATAATTTAAAAACATATAGCATTATTTAAATAATCTAATAAACTTAAAAGAAACATTTTTAATTTTTTTACATCATAAAAAACTAATACAATAAATTATAATTAAATTATGAAATAAAAAATTAATACAATAAATTAAATATTTAAAATAAAATTATATTCGAAAAACCAAAAATCGAATATCGAAATACGAATGGTCCTCATCCGATTTTCTTTTTATTGGATTTCAAAGTTCCATAAAGGGAAAATCGAATTTCGAGATCTGATGGAGTGTCATTCGAATTTTGATAATTGATACGTAATTTTTGACTCTCGGATGTCAAAATCTGATGAAGGGCAAATCGAATTTTGATATTTAATCATAATTCGTTATCTGACTGGATCTTCATCAAATTACGAAATCTGATTAAGACCTGTGAGCTTTGTAATGATTTCATGCATATGTTTGACATGAAAAGCTTGAAAAAAATCATCCCCCAACTCCAATGGCAACCACCAACACAGCAACACCTCCACCATGAGTCTAGAACACTTCTCAATGAACAATCTCTCTCAAATCTTTCTCAAGGACCACCACAAAGTAGAAAATAAAAAGGGAGTGCAAGGGAGATAACATAAATGAAACGAGATGTAAGTAGGGATGACAATAGGTTGGGTCGGGCACTGATAGTGCCTACCCATAACCCATCCCGACAAAAAAATATCCACCGCCACCTGACCCACTACTTGCACAAATACTCGCTTAAAAAATATCTGTGAATATTTTAAAACTCGTGGATACCCGCAAATATTTAAAAAAATATAGTTTTATAAATTATTAAAATAAAATTTAAATAAAATTTAAATAAAAATATAAAATATAATAAAATTTAAATTAAATATACATTAAAATTTAATTTGAATTAAATTTAACTTTATAAAATATAATTTAACATTAATTTTGATTAAATTTAACTTAATAAAATATAAATTTAATTTTTATTTTTTTACGAATAACGGATATTTCCCAATAATATAATACTCACATGAGTCGTTTATAAACAGATATTAAAATATCCCATATCCACTGTTTTTATTCTTAGGAAGTAAATGTTCACCCGTATTTTTTATCACCCAGGTGCAAAGGAGGGAAGTACATAAACTTCCACCCTCGTTCAAGTTCGGTAACCTCATTGATCACGATGATATTTGTGAAAATTAGTAGTGCATGATGTAACCCTTACGCTCTGTTCGTTTGAACAGATTTCACTGTTCACGAAGTTTTGCAAGCAAGGAATTGAGTTCTGTGTTGTGTTCGTTTCAAAAGAAATGCAAAGACGGATTGGAAGGGATTTGCGGGATGTATACCTTTTTCATCACCCGAAGATGTGCGGAGATTTGAAGGGATGAAGTGCAAAATATCTTATTTGCCCTATAATTATTATATAATTTGACCTCCATTTTGGGGCATCTGGTATGCGATTCAGGTGGCTAAGAGCTGGATCGGTAACTATTTCCGATGGTACATTCGGGTCGATTTCCGGATCACAGATAGGAATGAGGGGTTGCTCATAGGGAAGGGGACAAAGTTGAACTTTTGGCAGGGAAGGGATCTCAGGTGGGGTCCGTTGTGGGTATTGGGGTATTTCATTGGGTTGAACATGGTGATTTTGTTGGTATTTGTGAGGGAAATTGAGCATGGTGAATATTCTGTGTGTTTTCATTTTTAGTTATGGTTGTTCTTAAATGCCTGTGTTGTTGTTCTGAAAAATTTTCTTAACTTTGTATGCATGGAAAAAGAGATGTAAGTGTTTGAAACACTCCAACGCACACCACAATGGGATTTCTTTTCCAGGTTACATATTTTTATTAATAATAATCAATAATAATAATAATAATAATTAATAATAATAATAAGGTTTAAACCCTCGGTTGGTCCTCGTATTTATATGGAAATCTCAAATGGGTCATCGTTATTTTTTCGGTCTCAATTGGGTCATATTTTTTGTAAAAATGAGCCAATTTTACCCTAACCGTTAAGTTGTTCTAAACGGCGTTAAATTAGGTTGAGCTGTATTTTTTGCTTTGATGACGTGACATTGTTCAATAAAATTTAATGGCTGATGTGTTTTAAAATTGTTCACGTAACATCTCAAATCAACTTCTTCTTCTGTCTCACCACTTTCTCTCTCTCCCATCTCTTCCAACACTCAAAAAAGCTGCAGTTTTTTTTTTTCCAGGAAAGAGAAATGAGGTTCATTTATAGAAATTCTAATAGGGGATATCTGATACCTGAATACAGAGCACGTCTGAGATTTGCCATGGCCTTTTCTCCAACCACTCCAAAGAAGTAATGCTGGACGGTGTGGCTGAATAATGAAAGCATCCCTACTGCAGTGAAGATGGCTGAATAAAGTCCAACTTTCGTTTTTGCATCTTCCTTAAAGTATGCTACTCCTATGGTGATGATGAAAAACCCAAAAAATGGCTTTGAGATACCAGAGAAAGATGATGCAATTGAGCCAATAGAAACCTTCACTAGCTCCCTCTTTCTAAGACGAAACCAAATTCTGAAAAATATATTTCTTTTTCCGCTGCCCATTTTGTTGTGTTCCTTTAGAACAGAGTGCTCGATAATATTCTTTTGGACCTCTCTCTGCACTTCTACTCGTGGTCTAGTTTCAGTAGGAAAATCTTTCTTGGCGGGCACTTTTAGTCTTTGAAGAGGAAAAAACAAAGAAAAATTGCAGCTTTTGAGTGTTGGAAGAGATGGGAGCGAGAGAAAGTGGTGAGATAGAAGAAGAAGTTGATTTGAGATGTGACGTGAACAATTTTAAAACACATCAACCATTAAATTTTATTGAACAATGCCACATCATCAAAGCAAAAAATACAGCTCAACCTAATTTAACGCCGTTTAGAACAACTTAAAGGTTAGGGTAAAATTGGCTCATTTTTACAAAAAAATATGACCCAATTGAGACCGAAAAATAACGATGACCCATTTGAGATTTCCATATAAATACGAGGATCAACCGAGGGTTTAAACCTAATAATAACAATAATAATTAATAATAATAATAATAATTATTATTATTATTTTACATTTTAATAATTAATTTTAATTCTTTTTCTTCTTATAAACATTTCTAAAATTAAATATAACATTAATAACTTATTTTACTACATTATAATTTTATTAATATTTTAAAATTAATTTTAATTATTATTAATTAATTTCCTCTCTTTATTAACATTTATACATTTAAATATAACATTAAAAATTAACTTTTTATATTACTTTAATAGCTAGGGGCATTTTGGTAATCTTTAATTTCTACCAATTAAACTAATTTTTTAAATCTGTCACATCAATCAAATCCTACCCTAATTCTCACAAACTTTACCCTCAAATCCACTCTCAATTACCCACAGATTCACTCAAAAAAACAACAAAAAAATTATCTTTAAATTCACTCAAATCCATTCAAATCATCTCCCCCAAATCATCTCTCTCAAATCCATCAAAAAGAACACAACCTTAGATATGCAGAGTGAAACATCCTCACAATAAACAAAAATTCAAATTAATAAATTTTTTATATACAATAATTTTAGAAAAAATATACTCACAGCTAACACGACCATTTAATGAAAAAATATCAATATGACAATATTAAATGAAATACTAAATTAAGATAATTTTTAGAAAAAAGGCATAATTTATAAATTTATTGGGACTAAAAGAAAAAGAAAAAGTCTATTCAATCTGTAACGCGTCACTTTATAAAAAAGCTCTTCAGTTAATGGATATCAGTTAATAGTAAGAACAAAATTAAAAAGAAATTGATGAAGAAATGGAAGAAAAAAAATATTGGCAACTATAAAATATTTTTTGTAAATTTATATGGGAGAAAAAAAATGATTTAAGTTATAAAAATAATATTTTGGAGCAGAAAGAAATGTTGGGAGTGTAACAAGCAATTGCCAAGAAAACTCTTCGTTCTCTTGTTTGGCCCAATTTATTCCTTCTTTCTTTTGCTCAGAAAATTTATCTGCGTTCCTTTTTATAACAGCGTTTGGTTCCGGACATATTTGAAAACCGAAAACCGCGTTTTGTGTCTGCAACATTAAACACACCCTTGTTCGTTCTGTTCTACACTCTCGCTCTTCGCCGTTCGCGTCAGCCATGTCCGACGGCCATCTCTTCAACAACATCACCCTCGGAGGCCGCGGAGGCACGGTAATCTCTCTCACACGATTTTTCTTCTTCCTTCTATCCTTCGTTTCTTTGTTCTTTCCCAAACCCTAGGGTTTTAGTTTGCTTCGTTCAATTGTGCTTTTGCTTTCAACCTCTCGATTTCACTTAGCTTTTGTCAGTTACATTTGTGGCGCTGTCAAGTGGTTAGATAGCTTATATCAGGATTTTGTTCTGCGTTTTCTTTTCGTATGTTTTAAACCCTAATTACTGTTGTTATAATTGACGTAGTGTTGTTGTTGGAGATTATTTATTTGTTATAGAAATTCGTTGAGATTTTACTTGTTTCTTTAGTACTGACTAGGGTGGGATGTTTGTGTATTAGTGGTTTTTGTTTCGCTCTTAAATCCCTAAGGACATGTTGCTTTGGCCGAGTAGATGAAAACTGGGACAATAGAAAACAGGGTTTTAAATTGCAGTTGTGGCTGCTGTTTTATCGCGGTTCTTATATTGTGTGGGAAATTTAGGGCAAACATGCTTGTTGAGTCCTTGATATCGTGGGAGTCACGAAAAAATATGTTTATTGCGGTTTCTGGTATTGTGGGAATGTACTGACAAACATAGTTTATTTAGTGGCAATTGCGGTCGTGGAGATCCCAATCAGCGACAATTGCAGTTGTGGAGACCCCAGAACCTTAACGCCCAAAACATCTGTTATGCACATTTTCTCAAAAACCTGGATGGAAAATAGACAATCCACAAAAAAGGTTTTCTTTGTGTCATGTTTCTAGTGGTACCAAGCAGTTGAAAAGTTGTTTTTGGTTACAAGTTTTATACTTGTACCAGTAAGTATTGGGTTGTCTTATGCGCTGTTTATGTAACATCTTTAGGAATGAACTGAATATGCTGGGCATATACCCTACCCAGAGTTGTGCTGCCCGTCCCATGTATAGTTTTTGTCTATTTCGTTGTTATTTCAATGAAAAATTAATGATAGTTGTAGTTGAAGAACTAAAAATTTTCAGTGAATGAGACTGAAATTAGCAATGGCGATGTATAACACTTCTTTTTTTGTAATTGGGTTGCAGAATTCTGGGCAGATAAGGATTTATGCTGGAGGAATTATATGGAAGAGACAGGGCGGCGGTAAATTAATTGAAGTTGATAAATCTGACATAATGGGGGTGACATGGATGAAGGTTCCAAGGACTAACCAACTTGGGGTTCAAATCAAAGATGGGTTGTACTACAAGTTCACAGGATTTCGCGACCAGGTTACTCTCTCTACCACTTCAAATGTGCATTGTCGTACAGTAGTCATTGAAAAAGAATTCAAACTTCTGATTTGGTTTTCTTGTATTTTTATCAATTCATTAACACTTTTGAAGATCTAAATATTGAGAATCTGTGCTTGAATTTCTATCAAATGCTGGTTCTTAATTTCTTATGTTATTTTATAATATTTTGCAGGATGTTGTAAGTTTGACCAATTTTTTTCAAAACACCTGTGGAATATCAGTAGAGGAGAAACAACTTTCTGTTAGCGGACGTAATTGGGGAGAAGTAGATCTAAATGGTTAGTGTCTTAGTGATAATATTACACGAACTGACTTATGTGTTGTAGCATGTAACTGACCTTCTGTGCATGATGTGTCACGTATAACTCAAACATTACTCTTTGTCATCCTTAGTTACTATAATTTTAGTGTTTGGGGAAAAAAAATTACTGTTCTGTTTGATAGCACACGAGTAAATGGTATCTAATATCTCTACCACAGGGTTGAGCTCTCTTAACATGAAAGAAATTCGGTTGATATCATCCAGTTTGTTCTTGGAGAGCATTGGTTTTTCTTGTATACTTATTATGTGCTGCTGCTTTTCTCCCTCCTTAATTTGCAGTTGCTTCGTTTCATTTTAGTGTACTTAAATGTCAAATGCATTAATGAACCCTTACTTCCACTTGGTAATCACATTAAGTGCAATTTTTTAAGTGAAAAATAGTTGTTAAGAGAAGGAAGTGGTTTTATTTGTATATGTGTATGACTGTATGTGTTTGGAAGGTGAGGGTGGTGGTTGACTTCTCAAGCAGAAACTTCATCTCATTCTTGTTTTCTTCTTTTGTAAATCAAATCCTGCTGAATAACTTGACTTGACTTCTTTTGTAATTATGCTACTAACTGAGTAGTGGATGTTCTTATGTTTCTGTTTGCATTTCAGGAAATATGCTGGCTTTTATGGTTGGTTCAAAGCAAGCTTTTGAAGTTTCTTTAGCAGACGTCTCTCAAACACAGCTTCAAGGGAAGAATGATGTGATCTTGGAGTTTCACGTGGATGACACAACTGGAGCTAATGAGGTATATGTATACTTTCATTCACTTGTATAGTTTTACATGCTTAAGCAAATTCATAGAGTTTTGTCAAACTGGCAGCTTTTTTGCAAGAAAATTGTTCTCATTCACCATTTAGGTTTTACAGTATTGAAGACTCTAATTATTAGGTTCAATTTGATTGTGAAATTTTTACGGTCTAATGTAGTTTATGTTTTGATCTCAGAAAGATTCATTGATGGAGATAAGTTTCCATATACCGAATTCCAACACCCAGTTCGTTGGTGATGAAAATCGTCCTCCTGCTCAGGTGAGTTTGTTCACAGATATAAAAGATTTCATGTTATAATAACTTCTAGGTTAACTGACATTTAATATCAGGTTTTCCGTGACAAAATAATGTCTATGGCTGATGTTGGTGCTGGAGGTGAAGATGCTGTTGTTACCTTTGAGGGTATTGCAATCCTTACACCAAGGTAATGTATTAAAATGCACATAAAATTATTATGCAAGCATTTTTCGCATGGTTTTCTTCTTTTTTATATTTAATATTTTTGTACTTTCAATAAATATATACACATTAACGTCCATTAACAGAAATTTTTACTTTTATGCAGGGGACGATACAGTGTTGAGTTACACATGTCATTCTTGCGGCTTCAGGGACAAGCTAATGATTTCAAAATTCAGTATAGCAGTGTGGTTCGCCTATTTTTGCTTCCTAAGGTTCATTCCCGGGTCTTGTGATATTTGTTTTCATATTAAGTGATTAAGGATGAATCACTGTTTTTCTTTGGGCCTTTTTAAATTTGCTGACAATTTCTCATGTATCTGTAGTCTAATCAACCACATACCTTCGTTATCATTAGCCTTGACCCCCCTATTCGGAAGGGACAAACTTTGTACCCTCATATTGTGATGCAGGTTTGCTCAATGGTTTTTGGTTTTCCAAGTTGAGATTTGTATTTTACATGCTTCTAACATTGTTTTGCTAATTTCTGTGTAGTTTGAAACTGATTATGTTGTTCAAAGTGAATTGGCAATAACTGAAGATCTTTATAACACAAAGTATAAGGATAAATTGGAGCTGTCTTATAAGGTATTTTGGTTAAACTGTTGATAATTGATTCATACATCTGTACAACCCTTGAGATTCCACTCTTCAAGGTTTTTTTGGAAAAATGGAAAAAGGGCATCTTGCATATTTTACATGATTGAGTGATGCATGCTTTTTGTAACTTTCTGCATATTGTGTGGTTGTTGACGTATTTCATTTTCAATTCAATAATCAGGGACTTATTCATGAAGTGTTCACCACAATATTACGTGGGTTGTCAGGTGCCAAAGTGACTAAGCCTGGAAAATTTAGGAGTTGTCAAGATGGTTATGCAGTGAAATCATCTTTGAAAGCTGAAGATGGAATTCTGTACCCTCTTGAGAAGAGCTTCTTCTTTCTGCCTAAACCTCCCACTCTAATTCTTCATGAAGAGGTGAAGACTGACTTTGATGACTTGATCAAATGTCAATTACTGGTTCATATTGGATATGATATTAATGGAGGTTTTAATTGTTGATCTTTCCTATTAGATTGACTATGTGGAGTTTGAGAGGCATGCTGCTGGTGGCTCCAATATGCATTATTTCGACCTTCTTATCAGACTGAAATCTGAACAAGAGCATCTATTCCGTAATATTCAGAGAAATGAGTACCACAATCTGTACGAATTTATCAGGTAAATGTTATCCCATTCCCATTGCCTAATTTTACATACAACTGATTGTCATATAAACAATTTGTTTTGGCCTGCACATGCAGTTCAAAGGGCTTGAAAATTATGAATTTGGGAGATGCCCAACCCACGGTTGGTATTAAGAAGGTTCTTGAGAATGATGATGATGATGCTGTTGATCCACATCTTGAGCGTATTAAAAATGAAGCTGGTGGAGATGAAAGTGACGAGGAGGTGATCGAACAGATCTTTTCTATAATTTTCATCTTATTTATAGTCAATGACTAGCATTTAGTAAAATTGTGTTATAGTTTTATAAACAAGGCCACAACATTAAGTTAGGGTGACTAACGTCTGAAAATGGTTGGGCATGAAAACTTGAGCAAGCTTATGTTTCAATTTTTTTCAATTGTTGAATTTTCATCCCTAAGCATGCAATTGGCCTTTCTCCTATTTTTTAAGTGTCTATCCATTTTGTGTTTTCTAGTGTTTATGTGCCTTTCTTCTGTGCTTCTGCTTTTGCACCCATACACACACATATATAACTTGACTCTATTTAAATTGGTCTACTTTGGTCTTTGGGGGCTTAGCTTGGCAGTTTTTTCCCGCACTTGTTTCTGTTTATATACATTAAATGGTGGTAAATGTCTACAGGATTCCGATTTTGTTGCTGACAAGGATGATGAAGGTTCTCCTACTGATGATTCTGGGGCAGATGATTCCGATGGTAGTGATAGTGGTGATGAGAAAGAGGCAAGTGGTTTTTTGTTTGCCTTTGTTATCTGTGATAATTCTCTACTATTAAATCTAAGGCTCCTCTGACACCTTAATAGTGACCAATTTTCAGAAGCCTGTCAAAAAGGAACCAAAGAAGGACCTGCCTTCTAAGGCGACTACTTCAAAAAAGAAATCTAAAGATGATGAGGATGGAAAGAAGAAAAAACAGAAGAAGAAAAAGGACCCGAATGCACCCAAGAGGGCAATGTCCGGTTTCATGTTCTTTTCTAAATTGGAAAGAGAGGTGTGTGTTCTATCCTGTCATATGGTTTTGGATTTGACTTATAAAGTTTACCAGAAACGTTGTCTTGTAAGGAGGGAGGTTTATACAAGTTTAGTTATTGTTGCATAATATTTCCTGAAAGTATTTTTTTTTTGCAGAATCTAAAGAAAACTAATCCTGGAATTTCATTTACGGACGTGGGACGAGTACTTGGAGAGAAATGGAAAAAGATGTCAGGTATGGCTGCTGTGTCATTCCTGATCTGAGCTTATTACGTTTATGTATAAATCCACTAAACTGTGTATTGTTTACCTATTGAATGCACAGCGGATGAGAAGGAACCATACGAGGCAAAAGCACGCGAAGATAAAAAACGTTACAAGGATGAGATCAGTGGCTACAAGAATCCCCAACCTATGAATATTGATTCTGGAAATGACTCTGACAGTTCTTAAGGCTGTTTCTCAACACTGTCAGTTAATGCAGTTCCATAGATACGTGTTGTCATGCCATGCAAGCTAATGTAAGTCCGGCTCCTTATATTTCTTACCGGTGATGGCTTCTACGCACATGCTCCGTAAATTGACAAAAGTTTTTCCTCTTTGAAATGGCTTGATAACTTGTGAATGAACTCAAGGGTTTTGTCCTCTGATGGTTTGCCTGGTTTGTCGACGATAGAGGAAGGACGAGCTTAGTGCGTTGATTAGGTTCCTATGCTTAATTAAATCAGTGGTCTGTGTTTGAGACCCAATTTCCTAATATATTGCCTATAAAATGATAGTCCCTTGGGTTTTTGACCCACCGATGTAGGACTTGTAACATATATATACCTTCAACTTTTGCATGAATAGGGTTTAAATTGTTATATTTAGCTTACTTTATTCATTGCATATTGATACTGAAAGTCGTCTTGTCTTCTATTTTGTGTATAACCAGGGTTATTAATTACTAGAAGACCTTTTTTCTTTTATTTTTTATATAATTATATTTTGGACAACCATTACTAGTTAAGACAAAGTAAATCAAGAATAAAGAAGTTAGTTTAACTTTGAAAATGCTTACATATTGGAGGTCATTTAAAAGATTATTTTCATTTTACTGATATCCATTCAACTTGTAAATGTATGTAATTTTTCGGTACAAATATTGATATGAAAGAAAATTATCATCAAAGGATTTGAGCCATAAATGCAAGTTTTGAGTGAATGGGAGATGACTCAAGATTTATTTTGATCGAGATTTATTTATATTATTTAGAAGTGATTCTCTTATTTGGAGTGTTTGTTTATGTGTATATGTCTATATATATATATATATATATATATATATATATATATATATATATGTATATATATATATAATTTGCTTTTACTTTTACTTATATTTTAAAATAAATAAAATTGAATATACAAATCTAAAAAAACAATTACACATAAATAACGAAACAAATTCGAAATATATTCCAAATCGTTTATTACTTTTATATAATATTACAAATTAAAAGGATTAAAAGTGAGGAGCCAGGAGTGTATTTTTTCCACTCCTTGTTATTATATTATAAATTTGAGTTTATAAAAGAGAGGATTTATTAAAGAGATTGTAAGACTAGAAAAAATTTATAAAATTCCCAAAGTAATGTAAGTGTTTAATATTTATGATGATTATTTTAGTTTACTTTTTTAAAAAAAAATTGAATTAGATTGTGTACAATTGTCTTTTTATCACTGTGGTATGTAATATGAGAAAAATAGGTAAAAGAAAAAAAAAGGTGGATGATTTTAAGGTGTTAACTAGATCTTATTTCTAAATTGTTTGGAAAAAAATGTATTTATAACTTTATGAATTATTAGATTAGATTATAATTTTTACAAAGTATTATTGAAATTTAGTTTTCTACTAGTGGTGGAATTTACAAATAGAAGTTTGTATTAAGAGAAATAATTTTTGTTCTTTTGGTGGTGGAATTTACAAATAGAAGTTTGTATTATAGTATAAAAGTTATGTTTCTCCATACAATTCAGTTTTGAGTTATATTGATAAAATTTTTATTTTTTGTTTTGATGATATTTTTAATTCAAGTTCATAAAACATAGTTATTTCATTTTGATTGTTGCATTTTTGTTTAGCGGTCTTTTGTCAAAAGAAAAACATTTTTGTAGTTTCAACTAGCGTCGTATTTTTTTTAGTTATTTCAGTAACAATTAAATTTTAACTTTGTTAATAGTTAGATTAAACTCAGTTTTGTAACATATTTTTATGACAGTATTCTTCACTTTAATCATTATATTAAGATATAGAGGTTTATAATAAGAAATATCATATTTACACTTGGAATAAGATATGAAATACCATGAATAAATATTAAAATATTTAAATAGTGAAGGATAATGTTATTACAAATAAAATATTTAAATAGTGAATGATAAATTTATTATTAAATATTAAAATATTGAAATAATAAATGTTGATTTATTTATTTAAATAATAAATATTTAAAGAATATTTTTGATTTATTTATTTATTATTATTTTATTAGTGAGATTTTGATAACCTTTTTCTATTTATTTATTGTATTATTTTTGTTTTATCAATGAAGAATTTATAATCCACTTTTTTTTAAATATTTTATTGATAAAGTGTTTATAACATTATTTTTATTTATTTATTATTATTATTTTTATTTTATCATTAGAGTGTTTTTAATCTTATATTTATTTATTAATTATTATTATTTTATTAGTGAGGTGTTTATAAACTTATTTTTATTTATGTGTTATTATTATTATTATTATTATTACTTTTATTAGTGAAATGTTTATAAGTTTGTTTTCAGTGATTGGCATTGAGTTAAATTTGAATTTCTTACTATAGCCGTTTCTTATTTCTCTGTTTTGTTAACGAAAGTAAAAACTAAAAGTATCAATGGTTGCAGGAAGATGGAACACATGAGGCTGTTCCAGGAAGTGATTTTGTGATTTATTTGTGTAAGCATTTTATATTTGTCCAACACTTAATTAGCATTCTTTTGCTGCAGGATGTGAAGAATGAAGGAGAAGCATACATGTTGAAGGGGTTGTTTCTGTTAAAATGACAAGAGAAAGCTAAGTAATTTATTCTTTGCTGTTCATCATTCGTATATATTTTTTGAAAAATCATAGTAAATCCTTATATGTTACAGTAATTACTTATGGTGATTGTAGAAGGAAACTCTCTAACGAGTTTTGTCTCTATCATTTCCTTACAATTTTCTGCGACCATATAATTTGAAAGGTCTTTGTGATTGACTAAAAGGTGAAGGATTGAACAGAACAGTTATTGTTCTTTGTTTGATTTTGAAAGAGGTAATGGAACTACACGAAAAATAAATAAATTTATTTAGTAGTAAACTAAAAGATCAACATTTGTCTAATGGACAATGTAGAAAACAGTCTGAATGTTTTACCTACTTTGGTGTTCAATCACTATACTAATTATTAGAATGTTGATTGAAGTCCAATTCAATTTCATGCTTGTGAACTTATTCAGTAACTATTTCGATTTAAAATCTTATGCACTTAATAAAGTACTACCCTTTCTGCATGTGAATGCTCAGATTCTTGGAGGCTACACTTATTTATTTCTATTGAATTTGAATTATGGTACATCTGTGGGCAGAGTCCTTTATGTTTTCTTGTTATTGGATGTTTAATAAAAGACTATTAATTTAATTAGCAACAAGCTTTTAAATATGCTCAAAAGGATATGAAAACATATCAGAAACCATTAAATCAAAGACTGCGAGCGACAAGGGATATAAAATAGTGAGAAACAATTTTATTGAAAATAAATACACTGAAAACAAATACTCAACCATCACTAAAATACACTGAAAACAAATACACACCCATCCTTAAAAGATATAATCAAAACATAACTAACAAAGAAACCTTACTACTTAAGAAACTATCCCTAACGCTATTCAACTCCTCCTAACTCCCATAACCACCCTTCTCTAGTTACCACCTCACATCACATCCTAGAAGAGGGAGAAGGGTTATTTTGAATCATACGCCAGCATCTTTGGGCCTCTTCCAGTTCCCTCTTAGCACAGCGAAAACTATTCTCTTCCAACAACTGTCGAACACGAAGCAGATGGCTTTTTGTCATATTTGCGTAATTCACCTTTTCTTCTTGACTAATGGCTTTCAAGTTTTTATTTTTTGGTTCCATATTCACTCTATTTTGAATAAATATTTCTCTTTTTCAATTTTGATTTTGAATTTAAAGATAAAAAAAGCATAATCATATTATTTGCATTGACAAAATGTCATTCAATTCTAATTTTGAATTTGAACATAAAAATAGCATGCACATATTATTTGCATGATTGGCAAATTTTTTATTATTAAAGTTATTTATTTTATTATTAATTATTAATCTATTTATGAATATAATTTGATAAACATAATTATGGATATTATCTTATATATATACCTATAAATATTATGAAGTTTTTTAAAGTGATATATATATATATATATATATATATATATATATATATATATATATATATATATATATATATATATATATATATATAAATTGATCAAAGAAGATAAGAATTGGCATAATAAATTATATGTATGATAAAAAATGTAAAAAACAAAATACATAAAAAAAAAAGTTATCTAAACAAATTCGTATTATGTAGATTACAAAATATAAATCTATATTTTCAAGAAAACTGAAAATTACTCATTTGTAATATTATAAGAACATAAATATGTATTAAAAAGATAAGTTATGTATCCCAATTGTTATAGATAATAATATATGCTTGATTTCATTTTTATTTGTCTGTGTTAAGTTGCTGCACCTTATTTTGTTTTTATTTACTTTGGATTATTGAAACACAAATTATATTAGACCTATAGTAACTTAAGATTTTTATCACTAGTAACTAATATTTAACTAATTGATAGCAATATTTTAAATAATTAAAAATAAAAAACGTACCACTGATTGTAATTTTTTTATCTTTAGTTTTAAGAATTGGGATTCGCTAATAAGCTATTATTTTTTTAATTTCAGTCAAAAATTAAGTTTAATTAAATTTATTATTATATTTTTGAAATTAAATAAATTTTTAGGATTTTTTTTCTGAATTAAAAAAAAAAACAAATCTAAGGTATAGTTTAAAAGTTTGAATTAACTAAAATTCAAACACAGTGTAGCGCCATTTTTTTCTAATTTTATTTATTCACAAAAATTACATAAATAGATGTTTTATCTTTTTTTCTTAGTATATTAATTGATAACTTTAAGAATTGCATCGAAATTATATTCTTTCCAGTAAAGTAGTTTAAAAAGGTAATAGTAATTAATTAAGAACAATATTAGTAAACTAAATAATTAATAATTTGTGAATAAATTACAATAAAATTTAAAAAATATATATATAATAAGAATTAAAAGTTTGGATAATAAAAAATTTAGGGATCGGATCATATCTGCGGGACAGTTAATTAAAGCTATATTAAAGTATAAGAAAGACTTAAAATTAATTAATTGGGTGAGAGTTAAACATATTATTTAAGTGGATAATTAGTTGGGTTGATTTTTCTTTTTCCTGGGCTTTCAACATCCTAAACCCGTTTAGTATTTTAACATATTACTCCTTAGCTCTTGCTATTTGCACACACTCTTATAAAAAAGCTGTAAAAAATACTATTTTTATATTCATTACACTCCATGAAGTACTTTCAAAATAATATTATATATTTATGTTTCATAATGTATTTTCTAAGGTATTAGAAAAATACAAATATGTTCTAAAAATCATACATACTAAAATATATTTTTACTTTTTTAAACTCTTACAAATGT